GCTTTGCACTTGCCTGCAAAACCCTCTCTTAGGGCCTAGTCACTATAGCTGACTGCAGCTTATTTTAATTAGGAAGATGTGTCTATTGAGAAACTGTTGCCAACATGTTATGAAAACTTACACAAAGAAATAAATGTGTTGTAGAACAGATGAAACATTCAGTTCATTGATATTATAACATATCAAGGAGTCATATTACTCATACAGTTGCTGGCTGGAAGATGTAGCCTTGCAACACATACATTTCTGTTTGCTCACATGCATATGTTTTAAGTCACAAGTAAAGGTATTGATAGAATCTTGCGCTGTTTTATGACAAATTATATATATTGGGATATTGGTTTTGAGATGTAATTCACTCCATCACTTCAAGTGGGTGACTAGAAATAAATTTCTCCAAACAATAGACTTATATTTTCAAGAAGGAAGGTGGTTAGAAGAAATTCAATGCTAAGTTATTAGAGCTAAATTATGTTTAAAGATGTGTATGGCACATTATTTCAAAACTTCTTGTAGCAGTACAATGTTACAATTGTATTGGACACACGAAGTTGCCTTTTCTTTTTCATCTCTCAAACATTTTTAATTTTTCTCAAATTTTTGTCTGCTTGCATAGCAGTAAGTGCTTGTAGAGAGTGCCTCTTTTCTAGCAATACAGTAAAGTACGTGTACTACATTCATTTTTTTGTATATAATGTTGAAAGAATTCTGTTCATAATTCCCAGTTGCAAGAAATGTCAAAGGTTTGAACCTTTTCATCATTTTGATCTAACCCTGGTCAAGTTTTTTAAATGCAAGAAAATAATATGGCTCGTCTTTGCTTATGTGGTGTAAACTGTTTTTCTGGAAACAAGCACGAACATTTGCCAATTCATTTTCAAATAAAATTAGCTTGAGGTCAATCGATGAACTCGATAAAATACCTGAGGGGGAGGTGTTGACTCGCAATTATTTTCCATCCCCCGTACCCCCTGGTGGCTCTCTTTTCGCAACCAGTTTCCTCACGGTTCACTCTTTATGATAATCGATAATAAACTGAGAGATTTGAAAAACTGTGAACATCATTTACTGTCAGAACCATTCAATCTTAGGCTATTGTTTTTCTTTTGGAAGAAAGGAATGGCGGTTTTAAGCGTGGTTTACCTCGCGTGATTTCTTGGTTATGAATGCTCGTGACGGGAAATACTCGTCCAACATCTCACCCTTAATTGTTTTTTGATCGATATCTTTGCCGTGAGAAAAATGGCACTTCGTTACTGCACTTTTCATTGTTTTCACTTTACGCTTGAGTAAGCCAGCTATTTAAGTAGATTTTGTTTTGTCTTGGGTTAATCGTGTGCGGAATTCAATAAAGCTAATCATTTCTGGAACGTTAAGAGTGGAAAGAGATTAGCATGTTGTCTGTTAAATGTCAACTTGGCGCCGCTCCAGTTTAGAAAACGCAAATTCAGCCCTGCCAAAAATAGATTATTTTTGTAAATATAAAAAAACTGTTTATGGCTGTTAGTTCGAGTGCAATGTTAGCTGACCACCCAAGGCGTTCTTGGCATTCGAGATGTTTCAACATCTTATCAAAATACGATTTGCTTCTTACTTTACACGACTTTTAAGTGATCGTCTAAAATAATTGACAGCGGGACTGGCTTCAAACTGAATCAATCGATAATATAGGAGGAAAATACAGTAAAATATTCATAATGTTATAGCTGTAAAATACCTCGCGGCAGTTCAACTAATATCGAACGTTTGTCGTAATGACTGGGGCGTGATAAAATTAGAAGTTCTCGTTTTGTTTTGTTTCATTACGTAAAATGTCGTTCAATGGAATATTATTTTTCTAAGGACATTTAAGTTTCCATTTTTATCAACAAAACCACCTTGACTGGTGCCAGAATGTCGAAAATAGACCACTCAAGATATGCAAAACCCCCAATAGCGCTTTATTCAAATGAACCATTTGTAAACTCAAGGCTTTTCCACTGTACTATTTACATAACACTGCATGTAGATTGCTTATAATGGCCTCGACAACATTAAGCGATTTCCTCTTGAATCTCAGAGGAAAGTTCACGTGTAATTATTGCAAGGGGTCGCTGAACAATCCAAAGATTTTACCATGTCTACATTCTATCTGCTGCGGTTGCCTCCGAAGGCTCGAGATGGAAAGCCTTGGGGTGGAACGAGCTAGTTGTCCTTCGTGCAGAGCCGAAATCGAGCTACCGGAAGGATCTAATATTGAGAGTCTTCCTTCTCCGCTCTACCTGAATCGACTACAACAAATGATCAGAATTCGAAACAACAACCCCGAGTTAGCTTGTGGGAGCTGTGATCGAAAAGCAGCTGCGGTGTCCTATTGTTTCGGTTGTAGATGCCTCGTTTGTGTCGGTTGTATTGAGGTACACGCGCGAATAAAAGTGATGAAGTCTCACCGCATTGCCGAGCTGAAGGAGTTCTCATCGAAAGATCTCCCTGTGTTAATTCAAGCCCCGTTGTTGTGCCTTGAAGATGGACATAAGCATGAAGCGCTTGATCAATTCTGCAAGGATTGTGAGAGGCAAGTTTGTGAGAAGTGTATTAATTCCTCACATAAGGGCCACAACCTACTGCCGATCAGCCAAGCGAGTAGGGAAAGTAAGAAGCGTATTTTACATGCCATGGATGGTTTGCAGGACAAAATGTTGTCATGTCGAGGAGAGATAAAGCGAGTCGATCAGAGCTATAAAACTGTGGAAAGGAGGGTAATTACAGCACGGCAAGAAGTGTTGAAAAAAATTGAAGACTTGATCACTTTATTGCGAAAGCACGGAGATGAAATGCTAGCTGAACTAGAGAGTGTTTATAAAGATCAACAGCTTTCCATTATTAAACAGCGGAAGGAGCTTGAATTACAAATGGGGCAATTGCAAAAAACTCATGAATTTGCTAATGAAATGCTAGAGAGAGATATCGGGGGCGAGATTTTAGACATGGAAAGATCGATGAAAAGACGATTTCAGCAGCTTATGGCCATGAATACCAAACCAGAGCCACATGCACAGAAAAGTATAAACGTTGATTATATTCCAGATCCAGAAGTACAGAAAACTCTCTTGCAGTCAGGTCTCGGGCGAATTTTTGTGAGTTTTACAGACCCCGCGACCTCGATCGCTGAGGGAAAACAAATGAACCAACTTCTCACAGGAACTGGAGAACGAATCGAATTCACGATTCAAACGAAAGATTCCGATCAGAAACCGAGTTACTCTGAGAACGATCGTGTTTCGGTCCGTATTCAATCAACCAAAGGTACGGTGATTCCCACGAGAATCGACGACAGGAAAGACGGAAGTTACCTCGTCTCCTACACCCCGTTGAAACCGGGTGTGTACCAAATCGACGCAAGGGTTCGTGGCGAGCCAATCAAAGGAAGCCCGTTCACAGTGCACGTGACTACTCGAGCAGAGTATCTTAAGGCGAGCCGGATAAGCCTGGAAAATGCTTCTAAACCCGACCAATATAAACCTGTCTCATATTTCGGCTGCGCCGCTCATGAAAAGTTCCAGATCAAAAGGCCTTGTGGTCTTGCAGTCAGTTCCTCGGGAGAGGTCGTCGTCGCAGACTCGTGGAATCGTCGGCTTCTGATCTTTCGTCAACGGAGCAAAGAGAAATTGCAGTTTGAGAGCAGAGTTCTGGAGGGTAGCGTGGATTTGACGAATCCAGTGGGAGTTGGGTTCAATTCTGAAGAAAACATCATAGTATCCGACAGTGACAACCAAATGATTCACGTGATCGATCGATGTGGCGTGACCATCAAGACATTCGGAAGTGACATTCTCGAATGCCCGTGGGGAGTTTGCGTGACGCGCGAGGGCAGAATTACCGTGTGCGACTGGGGGAGTGCTACTGTCAAAGAATTTTCCCAACAAGGAAAACTTCTCAAAGAGTTCTCCAGTCGATCCTCCGCCAAACCTTACTACATCGTTCATCACCATGAAAAATACTTCGTAACCTTTGATTCACACTGTGTTGAAGTGTTCGATAATGGAGGTAACTTCCTGTATAAAATTGGCGAGAAGGGTTCCGGTGAAGGTCAGCTAAGGGACCCGAGAGGAATGGCGATTGACAGCAAAGAAAATCTTGTCGTGTGTGATAGTGGGAATCATCGTCTCCAGCTATTCAGCACAGACGGAAGGGCTTTTGCGTTTGGAAGTCAGGGCAAAGAGGCGGGTCGATTTGACAAGCCTCAAGATGTTGTTGTCTCATCCGATGGCAGGTTATTTGTGACTGATTATTGTAATAATCGTGTGCAGGTACTGCAAAGGAGCAACAGTGAAGCGCTGATTAATTAGAATACGCAATAAAACCGCAGAGACAATGATTTATTTTTGACAAGTACAAATGGTACTTCAGTTTTGAGTGTCCAAGAAATGTTGGCTCTGAACTCATACATTGACTTATTTGCACCACCATGGATTATAAATGATTCTTAGCGAACTTTCTCATTTATTAGCTTTTTGCTAAGTCGGTCATGAAATTTTAACCATATTTACATCAGAGTTGCGATCACGTGAAAACTTGTCAAAATTATCTCTTATAGTTGTATTTCAAACAACAATCCATAATCTCTTGATTTCAAAGAAATTATCTTGCGCGAAATCCATCGTATCGCTGGACCACTTCGATAAAAACTGTAGGGTTACTAGAATAAGTTCAAAGAGATTCAGTTAAAATGAATAAAGAAATGTATCTCTAGGATATACTTAGTCATACAATGGTCCGCTAAGCGGTTGAATTATTAATGTAAATAAAAGTATGTCTCCGAAGTATAGTGAACTCTATTATTCAAAGAAAATTGTCAACTTCAAAAGCTTTCATATCATAGCTCAAGTATTAAATACCTTTGCTAAAAACATTGTTTCACTCAGGGCTTCCAGGTTTAATTACGTTGTCCGAAGAATATTTATACTGCTTATCTGAGGCTTCTTTCTAGTTGACGTAATTAATTGTACAAAGCGCATCAGTTATTGAACATAGACTGCACAGGTAGCTGGGAATACTTTTTTGCTAAGGTCCTTATTCACATGTATTTCACCACAACTCACATCAGAATACCCCTGCAGACCAATACCAACGCCTCGCACTATATAAGGCGAGTTACAATTCGTGGTTTGGGACTGCACTCCAACCCGTGATTTCATAATCCCCTGTTGAGTGTCCCGGATGTTGAAGCCGCGGACCAAACAACTTGTGTTGATGTTTTGTGGGGTCCAAGGTTTGATGACAAAAGGACTTCCTGTCAAAGTTTTGCTAACACCCCCGTGCAACAGCGAGTAAAGCGAATTTGCACTGATGTTGACTTTCATGAGCATATTTATCTTGGCTCCTGTTTGAAACTTCATGGAAACGCAGAGTTTTCTGAAAGGATTGAGCCAATATCCAGGAAGTTTGTACTCTGTTCTATCTCCAATCACTTGGTAGGGAGTTTTTCTGTCCCACTGAGGAGAATCGTAAGTAAACGTGTTCTGAGAGTGAAGGGAAAAAAATCTTTAGTCGAGTCAACTTGATCCTCATCGTGTCCTTAAGATTTTGACTAAAATGTGAACTAATTATCGTGAAAACCATTTCTCACATGTACAGTAGTGTTTAAGTTAAGTGCGGGCCGCTGATGAAATTCACACGAGTATATATTCATATCCTAACTAGAAAGGAAATTGATGACAAACATTTCCCGCACAAAGTTGTTTTTTCCTGGGAGCTGCTCCCTTGTCATGGGAACTTAAGAACATTAAACGTCGACTCCAAGCCGATTTCGTTGTTGTGATGATTTTTCACTCTATCTTTTAAGCACGTTCGGAAAGCATTGTTCATGCCATTTGAACAAATGTAGTTCAACTACATTTGCTCAAAATAAATATTTCGCACCGTCGAGTAATTTCTTATGTGTTGCAATCAAGAGAAGATCAAAAGTTGATAATTTCTTGGTTGCAATAAAATGCATCCTATTAATGCGCATTTTCTTTTATCAGGAACAAGGAAATGCTGATTGTTTTGGCAAAGAGTTGATAGGTAAAACGGAGATAAAATTTTCATCGCTTGATTTACGTAATAACCTAGAAAAGTTATTAAGCTGATTCACTTTTTCCTTTCGCCAGGTCATGAGGTTTCTTTTGAAAAGTGTACCTTAGTCCTATGTACTTTCATCACCAGTGTCCAGGCTCTTTCTCCGCAGTCTTCTATACCGGTCATCCTACATCTTGTTCTCCACGTGTCATTACCAACAGTTATGTAGTAGAATCCGCTAGGGGCTTGACTATAAAGAAAATAATAATAACAGGTCTTACTTCAGGTTAATTGTCTTATCTGTTGGGCCTGGACATCTCTCCTATCAAATACAAGCACAGTTTACATTGCTGGGCTGTGCTCTAACGAAGCTTAGGTGCGACAGGCGACTAACTTATGCGTTTGGGAGACTTGAGTAACTTTCATTTTATTAAAGCCTTTAAGAGTTGGGTACCCTGGATTTCTGAGTTAAGAGACATGACTCAATTAGTGATTCGTTGATGAGCACAGTTTTGATTGCATTTCTTGTTTTTCCATTTAGAGTTACAACTTATCGCTCATCTTCATCATCACATGTGCCTGCAAAGTATTTTAACTAAACAAACTGCTTTTTTCGGAAAAACCTAATGTTAATCATGACGCTAGTGCGATTCAATGATATATATCATTGAGGAGTTCATTTGGCGATGTAGTTTATGTAAGAAAATTTTTCAGTGGTTCCTGGTTACAGGACTTGCATGTCATGAAAGGCAACTTGTTATACACTACATTTTTTAACCTCTTGGCTCTATAAGGTAAACAGATGAGGGTTGCCAGTCTGTGCCCCACTAGAACAGAAAATCTAACTGTCAATTTTCACCGCCCTTATGTTGCGTTGAGCGGCTTAGAAATTCCGCAAGCCTCCATGTCCGCTAAATACCTGAAGGCTGCGGGTTTGTTACAAACTAATGTGGACTTTTGGAGAGGAATTAAGACCCGACGTAACCGGAAATGTATGTAAAATATTGTTTATTTTATACGTACTGAGATTTTCACTTCCAAATCTGTTGTCTCAAAACCCAGTTCACAGCTGTTTACAGCCAATCAAATCAGAGAAAAAACAATTTCACGTGTAGAGAAAACGTTTCGTCCAATCACGAAGAACCTTTCAGAAGTACTGGCTTTTCGCGCCTTCTCCTCTCTGCCCCGTCAGTTTACGTTAAACTTAGCTTCGTCGTTGGTTGTGTAAACATTTTGAAAAGGGGTTTGGAGTTCTGGGAGGGAAGGGCAACAAGCCAAACGCAGCAGAGGCCATAACAGACGAGGAGGTCAGCATTCTATACATGAAAAACCTGCTTGGAATCACGAGTGCTGAGGCTTTGTTGAACACGTTGTGGTTTATGAACTCCATTCATTTCGCTCTATGAGAGGCTGCGACGAGCATCGACAAATGACTTGGGGAGATGTTCAACTTATCAGAGATGTGGACGGAACTGAATGTTTTGAATATTCCAAACGACAGACCAAAACACGAACTGGAGCGGAAATTCGAAATATCAGATCAGTCAAGCCTAAAGCTTTCACTACTCAAGACGGGCCAGATGAGAGAAACCCCGTGTTTTTTTACAAAATTTATCGCGAGATAAAACCAAACTCAAGGCTGACCATCGAGGCCCCTTTCTATCTTAGTATCAACTATTCAAAGAATTCTTGTAGATGTTATTTTAAGGCAAGTGCAATGGGGTAAACAAATTTAATTCGTTAATAAAAACTATGTTAAACAAAGCTGGACTCGACGAGAAGCGACGACTCACGAACCACAGCGCAAAAAAACGATGATACAAAAACTTAACGACAACAAAGTTCGCCCCACTCACATCACGCAGCTTTTAGGTCAGCGTAATATGCAAAGTGTAAACAACTACAGCTCTGTTTCTAAAGAGCAACAGAAGAATATGTCATTGATACTGAGCTCAAAGCCTTCAACATGCAATACCGCGAGCGACGCAAACAACAATGCTTCACGCACTGCTCAACCACCACTTTGACGATCGAAGCGGAGGCTTCGTCCATAAAAACCTAGATGGTTCCTGCAGCTGGTCCCGTCAGTGGAGCCGTATTCCATGGTGGACGATTCAACATGAAGTAATCTATATATCTCGCACAGTAATTAGTCACCTACCTGTTCTTGAGTTGAATGTCGCCACAAGACGCTGGTTTGATAGAATTAAAAAAAAAAAGGCAAAAGAGGGTTTCTCAGAGTGATAACAAGTTAATTATATGGACTTGTTTATGTCCCTTGGCGGGTTGCAAACACTTCAATTATGTGTTACCATAGCTGCTAGTAGCAGTATTATCTTAGTTCTCTGTTATTCTTCGTTTTTATTCGTTAAAAATACCAGAAAGTTAAAAAATAGACGATTGACCAGAATACCTTCGACGGTGAGCCTCCTTCAAGTGTACAGCTAGTAAGTTATAAGTTTAGAACTAAAAGTTGCACGCTTTCTAGTTTAATAAGCTAGTTTTTTGCAATCTGTGGAAACTGTTCCTTTATTGCTGATAGCTTACCTTGGAAATTGCACTTGTTCGGTGAAGTACAGTGCGGATTGCTAACCTGAAAATAGGAAATGCGATCTCGTATAAATGGTCATGCAAACATAATATTTATGTGAGAAACTTCCGAAAAATGACGAATGTATTCCAGAAACTGGACGTCCGTCCTTTGAGAATAAGCACGTTTCCAGTTTCGGTTTTTGTTTTCGAGTGCAACTCAGTCGTTCAGTATGAGCGGAGACTCTTGCATTTGGTAGCTAAGCTATTTAACTAGAACAGACACTCTGTATTCTGCATGATAAATTGGTTTAGTCAAGTGAGTCGCTCGTGTAATTTTGCCACTTTAAAATGTTTCTCAAGCTGACGTTTCGAAGCGTTAGGCCTTCTTCTTTACGGGAACGTCAATCATTCATAACTATACCACTCGCTCATAACGTCACAGCTCTTTAAAGTTTAGTGCTTAAGGCCTTTTCGAGTGAAGGTGTCAAAATCTAAAATGAGATACCTGATTAATATTAAAATTTGTCGAAGATATCCTTCAAAAAAAGAAACAAAAAGAACTTCTTCAACACTCTAGACACTGAAGATTCTCGTATGGAGCCTGATGAGATGATGCTAAATTTCAAACACATGCAGCAGAATTGAAACAAAATGAACCAGTTCTACAACATTTGCGCATACTTAGAAACTCAAGGACTTTTTCTCCGTTGCAATGACCGTCTTTCATTTCTTTTTTTTTCTTTTCTTGTGTATTTTTTAATGTTTTTTATGTGTTATTTCTTCATTTCACTATTATTTCCAGTGCAATTTAATTAAGCTAAATTTAATTCGGTTAAGGAGAAAATTGGCCTATTGATGCTATTTGCGGGTCAAAGGAATATCTGTGTATTTTTATATACATATTCGAAAATAAATTAAATTATGAAAGTGAAAAGTCTCCAGAGCGAACGTATTCTGCAAGGATTCACGTATGTGAAATGGTGTTGGTGATGTTGGTAGATTAAGCCTTAAAAACTTTTGCAGTAATTGACTCTGACATCTCCAGAGAAAGATTCATCTTTTAAAGGTTATCGCATGGTAGGAAATGGTCACTCTACCTTTTCCAGAATTACTGATGCGGTCTTAGTCTCTTGCTCGTGTTGGCTGTTTGGTTTGGCCTTTGTTCTTACTAGAGAACACTTTTTAGAAATGCCATCAAACACTGCGTAACGACATCTTCTAGTAGAGCCGCACAGTGAAGCGCAACTATATTCATCATGAGCGTGCTCGACAGTAGAAATGTCTTGCTCCGTAAGCGTATCCGTTTGAGGTGAAATTTTGAAGTAGGATGACCGAAACAAGTGTATTTGGACGCACGGAGCTGCCATCAAAAAGATGACTTGAATTCGGATCAAAAATGACATTCTCAGTTTTAAACGGGACTTTCAAAATGAGCTCGGAGTGATGCTAAAAAAAAAAATATGCCGAAATATTCATTATACCGGCTATGCAAACAGTAACTCGACGTATCATTGCGTATTGTTGACTTTAATTTACGAAGATATTGGCAACGCTCTATACTTGTTTACGTAGGGCCTGATGCAAGCAATGGAAAAGGTTAAAGATAATTATAAAAAATTTTGAGTCCTTTTCTCATCTCAACTTTCCCTTGTGTTTAAGCCGGTAAATGTAGATACAATGGCCATTTTATTTTTCATTGATATTTTTGTCATATGTATCGTCAAGAATAGTATGCTTCAAGGAGTTTAGTGGCCATATGTTTACACACTCATTTGATCATACTTAGAGTAAACAGGATTGTTAATGAAAGGAGACTTAAAGTAACGATTGCAAATAACGAATTTTGATTAGGTCTGGCTTCCCTTTGGAAACTTGTTTCTGTTATAGAACCATTCTCGGATGAAGAAGAGGCGAAATGACCTCACCCTTCTATTCTTTTACCCCCCCTCCCCCTCCTCCCCCCACAGGATCTCCCTATTAGAAGGGTCCACGCGTTCGCATTCTTTGTGGGCTCCGGTACAAAATGGACGCAGCCCAGATAAAATGGGAAGACAGCATATATTTCTTGAGCATTTCTTTCTGCTTGTTTGCATAATACGTGTAAGCCGTGAGTCATCCTTTCTTTTTTCAAAACGCATGCTCAAGCGAGAAGCTAAAGAGACAAAATAAAGGTAGATTGGTTCTGAATATCAGCATTAATCGTCGAAGTTAGCAATCAAAAAAGCAGTGCAATAAATCAGCTCAGTCGGGCCGGCCAGACGGTCATTTCTTTTGTCAGGCTGTTTGTTTGTTTTTTCGTCTGTCTGGTTTTCAGGGCGTCTATCTGTCTGTTTGTCTGAGTGTCTGGGCTTTGGCTGTGTGTGTGTGTGTGTGTGAATAAGATATTGGGCTGATATATGGTAGCATGAGTAATATATTTTCATGGTACTATAGCTATACCTTAAATATAGGCACCGCACGAAGTTAATATGATTAATTTATTGTTTTAAGGACTCGAATTTTAATCTTCAATATTGCCTTATGTAGATTGTGTGAAAAAGAAAGTCTCATACCCATTGTAAAACGTAGGTGTAACTAATGAATGTCTTTGCGGCCTGCATTTGGGTGCTCAAGAAGTGCCATTTGTCGGATGATTTGAAAACTGGAACAGAAGAAATGAACTTGCGGAAATAAATTCAAATAATATTTTCATCTAAAGAGACTTGAGTTAATTTTTGTCTACTCTCCAAGCACAAGAGTTAAAGCAGAGATTCTTTCGCCTTAAGTTGCATTTTGTTGGAAAATATCTATCAGAATTGAATTGCATTGAGAAACATCATTGTTCACCTTTTTTAAAAGCACTTTTTTCGCTCTCGAGTTCATCCGAGCGTCTTTGAGATAGGTCTGGTTTCACATTAGCTAAAAAGCACCTTTTTAAATCTTTTTCAAACAAACCATATTAACATTCGACAGAGGAGATACACAATAAAGCACGACTGAAATCATCATAAACACCCGCAGTGATAAAGGCAGCTTCCTCTATTTGTGAACCATCTCAAACCTGTAAAATTTGGGAATATGAAGATCGGAACATGTGTGTCTCAACATAATCCAGGCTTACAAAGAAAATAACAGGGATTTCTACAAGGTAAATCACTTTGCCGTGAACCATGTTTGGTCATCAACAGGCTACTTCAAATACATCTTCCTTATATTTGAAATTAGTTTTACGATGTCAGTGCCTTTAATGAAAACTCCGCCAATAGATTTTAGAGTAATGAAATGTCGAAGCAGCTGTTGTGTCAATAAAAAATTAATTTTTACTTGACTTTTTGGAATAGAGCAATAAATGCAACCAGCAAATGCATTTAATTTTTTCCATCATTCGACAGTTGAGCGTATTCATACAGACCAACTTTCTCTCTCTTTCTCTCGCTACACAGGGTGCTCTCGTTTGCTCGCGGGTCCTTGCAATAGGCTGAACATCTGTCAGATACGTAGCAAGCTTTATTATGTTGACAGCAATGAAATAAGAGGATTTTTCAAAATACACTCAAATACATCCGAAAACTTTAAGAAGGTCCATGGTCTTTTTTTTCTTTTTAATGGTGGGCCGGGATGTTAAATGTGCAGTTGGCTCAGTATTAAAATAGAATACGTTGTTTGAAAGTGTGCGATATGAAAACGATAAAGGATACTTGATATAAACGAACATTTTAATTACTCCACAAAAGCCGAGACCAGGTTTAGAATGTTTATTGCTACTGTATGTATATTCTGCAGAAACCTGGATATGTTTCAAAGGTCATTTGATTTTTGATAATGATATCACCGCATGTTATATATGGTAAGGAGCACTCCGAGGAGGACTGGGATACCAATCCAACGCGTGACTTGATCTGCCATGGGTGTGGTCCAAGCGTGTTGAGGCCTTTCACTAAGCAACGTTTGTTGATATTGGGTTGAGTCGTGATGTTGGACAAATCCGCTGGCCATGTCATATTAATTCCTCTGTGAAGGGCGGAGTAAAGAGACTGTGCAGTGTAATCCAACAAAATAGCTGTGTAGTTTGGGGCATACAGGTTCCCAGTGATGGTCACACATATCTTGGTGGAATTACGGAGCCAATATCCAGGCAGTTTGAGTTCACCTCTTAAGTCTGTTTTTCCATAAGGAGCTTGGCTTGTCCATTCGTTGGAATTATAAGAAAACTTGCTCTAAAAGGTGAAATGGATGATGTCAGTTGTATCCTCTGCTCAGGCGGAAAACTCTTAAATGTAACTCTACGTGTCATTCCACATTCCGACGGATTTGATTAAAAAAATTGTTGGTTCCTTACCTAAACTTTTACACGAAGACACACCGACATGTTTTTGATAATTCAGGACATTTAAACAAAAAACTGCCCCGCCAAAGCGAAACTCTGCGCGTCATTTGACATTCTGACCGATGACCAAAATTCTGCCACGAAGACACAAATCATAAGCTAAGATATCCAAGGAAAAACTGCTCCATCAAAGTGTATCACTTAGATTTAAGGCCGGTTCAGGGTCCTGCAATTTCTTATCTTTATAATTGAATTCCGGATTTCTCAAACTTGGGGCAACTTTTTGGCGCTTCTGGTAACCGGCGATCCCTTTCCTGTGTAATCCCGAATCCCGAACAATTCGAGATAGCCAGATTCCGCAGTTAAAGCCTCATTTGGATTTGATGAAACACTGAATGATTACTTAATCAACTATTTCACCAACATTAGTAAAAAAATCCGGCATACCTTTCTGCCTATGATCCTTATTATTAATTCCCATGGTCCCCTTCCGCATCCAGGAATACTTTTCATCCTACACCGTGTCTTCCACGTGATGTTACCAATTGTCATGCTGTAAAGGCCCCCGTGGCTTGAGCTGTGGTGGCAGGAAATGACATTGAGATCATATTTCGCTACAGATTCGACTTCAGAGAGTTTCATTATTAATCCACAAAAATCGTAAAATAGATCGTAAAAAGAAAAACAAAACCGTGATAGATCGTGATTATTCTTAGGGGAATGTAACGAAAACGAACCCTCGTCGAATTTACATCAATTGTTTAATTCACGATCCATTGGGCAAACAGTCAAGAAAGGAAGCAGTTACCATTGCACGTGTGAGGATCGAGGCCACATGCGTTATGTTAATGTATATAAAGACCTAATACACCAAATTTAACGAAAGTAGATAGAGTCTATTTTCCTTCCCATTATCTGGATATTGATAGGCCGATATACGACGGAAATAACAAAAGCGAAATTGAAGCATCGTTTTCATAATTGGAAGTAAGTCATGTCCGATCTCTGATGATAATAGTGTTAATGTGTATTGCGTCCGCTATAATAAGAATGGGGCTGTTCCTTTCTTTCAAAAGATAAGTTTCAGTGGCATTTATTTATTAGATGCTGTTGCAAGTAACAAATACCTGTTTCTTTTTAGGATGTCAGCACAGGAGGTTGGTGTGGTGTTCATTTGACCTTTTGCAATTAAAACGTGGGTAAGTAACTGAATGTATGATTGGTATAAAACGTCTCAGTTCAGTGAAGGAATCTTCACTTTAAAGATGGTGACAATTTGACTTGAATGCATGCTTTTCAGTTTTGTCAGACCGCCTTGATAAATAGTTAAGTAACTTTCGGCTGCTCTTCTGATCTAAGTGGATAATGGGAATCGGATGTGAAGAATTAGTATAGATTGAAACGGATGCATTTTTCCGTTTGTCTTACAAAGATCGATGCCGTCAATTTTTTCTTCAAAAAATCAGGCGCATTTAGCTGTCAAAATGTTCGTTGCCGTTGTCAATTACCTGTTTTGTCCTTTCCCTCGTCACCGTTTGACTCAGTGTGTAAACCAGGCTTGCTTTTTGACGACGTGGCCACCTATCCCAAAGAAAACCATACCACTTTTTTTCCATTTGTTGCAAAAATCATATTACAATTTCAACCATTTACCATGTGCGCTTCCTAATGGAATGGGTTTTGGAATCTACGAGCTGCTTTCCTCATCCTATTTTTTTCCTGATTAAAACTCTGATTCTGCACCCTTTAACCCTTTAATCCCCCAAGACCTCATGGGTAATTCTCGTAATTGTCGGCCTTATAATTCTTGTGATGTTAGTTCGGAGCATTTGGTATTGGATTAACTAATAATCCCGTGATTGATATTTTTTTCTTGCTCTTATTACTCAGTTGTCTGCTTGGTACTCTATTGATATTGTAAAGAGAAATTCTGTCTTTGTCACTCATGGGAGTTAAAGGGTTATGCTAGCTAAACTGAATGACAGCTGCGTGTACATTAACGAATTTCCTTCAATAATTCTTTGTTTGCTATCAGTCAGAAATTGAAAAAATAGTAGATAGACCATCGTTACAAATTTTGAAAAGCTAAGGCTTTGGTTCCGTGTCGAAACTCTAAACTTGAGCTCGAAACCTCTGTTTTCTTTTTGATTCGTCATGGCGGTCTATTTGCCCTTATGAACCACTAGTTGGTGAGTGCAGAAAAATCTATATTCGTTGCCTTTGTCTAATAGCGGATCGCAGGACTTGTCGAAGCAAAATTGTCAAGGCTGAAACCTGAATTGGGACACTTGGGAAGGATACTTGTCATGGGAAATTGTATAGGATTTGAGATGAATCCTTCTTTAGTTTGTTTTCCTCGACAATTTTTGTTAAAGTTTATTTGCTTAGGTATATTGCCAATAAGTTTTCATCAAGACGTTTACTTGTGAACAAAAACTTTCCATTTTGAACGAAGATTACTTTTTGCAGAAATATTGACAACGTTTCGTGCATGATAGATTAAGCTACAAAAAACGTACCTTTTCTAGAAATAGTTTCCTCTCGCTTTCGGTCTCGGACCCATGAGTGATTTGGTGGTTCAGTTTTGCGTTCTCTTTCAGTAAAGAACACTTCTTCAAATCTTTGTCAAACACCGCAAAATGACACTCTGAATTGGTGTTACAGGTGAGGGCGCAATGAAACCCATCGCGAACGCTTTTTGTGATGAAGACATATTTCTCGGTGTGTAAATCTTTTTGAAGTGAAATTTTGAAAAAAGATGATCGAGACGTGTGTGTATGAACAAAATGAAGGCTTGCAAAGATAACAATATGGATTCGGATGAACGGATACATGGTAACCCAAGTTTTAAAGTAATCCTTGAACATAGGTCAGAGGAGGGGAGAGGTTGCGTGTCAGCTCGCTTCTCCTCAGGTATCGTTTAAGAATCACAAAAGGGCTGTCAAGGCGGTTACATTAGCACGTGTTTAGCAAGAATTTACATTTTAATAATCGCAGAACTGGTTGAAATAATAAAGTTTAACATTTACAATGATGCTTTTCACAAACTTCAAACACGAGGTCGTTGCGATGTTCTTAAACCTCACTTAGATCTCCAGAGTCATGAATCAACTCCAGAATAGCAGTCACTGATACCATTTCTTGTATTCTAGTGCCCAAAATTGTTTATAGCAATATTCTATAGACGCATATTTCCGCCGTTGCGTAAAAACCAGCTGGCTTTGGCGTGCCTGATAGAGAAAGAGACTCTGCCTGATTTGGTGGAACAAATCGATCCCGGAAAGGAGCAGCCTGTTAAGGACTCTGTACTATGCATTTGGGCTCTGAATTTAATATGTGGGTTGTACTCGGGTTTTCTGTGCGAACTCAATTTGGTTTTTTTTCTTGACATTTTCCTACTTCAGAACTGAATCCAAACCCATATCCTACCACAAGGGAGACGAAATTTGTATGACTCCATATAGCTAAGTTTTTTTCAACGTTTTCAGAGCACAAAGTTTAGCGTTTAAATTTTAAATTAAAGTAGACCCACTTATTGAGCTCAATTATAATCGGCAAGGACTGGCATATGAAAATCTAGATAACCAAACAGGTATAAGCTTAACACCGGGCTATATTTAGGAGAAGACAAAGATGAAAGGTCCATCTTAAATTGTATTGAATTAACTTTTCCTAGTACCGTCTCTATAAAATCAGGAAACACAAGAGACGCACAAAGCATGTGGCAGAGCTAGATGTGCACGATTTTTAGCCATATAACTTAATTTGCTCATGATATGTAAATCTCCTCTGAGTGACGTTATGGGATGAAATACCACGTGCACATTTCGCACTCCTCTCGAGCAGGGAAAGGAACTGAATTAGTGCGTCACAAAGAAAACTGTTTAACAAAAAGAACTCGCGGTGAGATTTACTAAAGAAACCTTGTCACTGTTCTCCTAGATTTTCTTTTAACCATTTCTCATAACAAATTCTTAATTGACTATTTAGATCACAGTATCACAACGTGCTGTTGGATGTCTTTAATACATACCACATTCGATCTTAGACTACGATTGAATGTAACTTTACAGCACTGCTTTCTGTAGCTCTTATTGCTTGAGATGTTACATTTACTGAATGTAGATTCTACAAAGAGAAGGAGACGTTTGTAGCGAATACTGGGGGGGTGGATTATTGTTTTTGCTTATGATCATATCACCACAACTGATTTCAGAGTGAAAACCAACACCACGCACTAAATATGGCAAGGAGCAGTTTGGAGACGATATGGACTCGAATCCAACTCGTGACATGATCTCCCATGACGGTGGGCCTTGCATGTTGAGACCTGGAACCAGGCAACTTTTGTCGATACCGGATGGAGTCGCGATGTGAGAAGAACCTATTGGCCAAGTCATCTTAATCCCCTGGTGCAGAGCGGAGTAAAGCGACTCCGCAGTGTAGTTCACCAGAATAGTTTTGTCAGGCTCTGCCCCAAAGGTGACACATATCTTGGTGAAATTTCTGAGCCAATATCCGGGAGTTTTGAGTTCGTATCCGTTTTCTATTGATCCATAGGAAGCTTGGCTGGTCCAGTGAGGGGAATTATATCTGAAAGTACTCTATAACGGGTACGAAATTTTTCTGTAAGAACACAAAACACTCATTGTCACAATGATTCAATACAAACACTAACATTTCTTCAAAGTGATTAATCCATGACTTAACTACCCTTGGACCTTTGATTCTCATAAGTAGTTCCCAGGTTCCATTTCCGCATCCGGGAATGCCTCTCATAGAACACCTTGTCTCCCACGTGATATTACCGAGTGTTATGTTGTAACGCTCACTTGGGCTCGAGCTGTAATGATAGGAAATGCATTTGTTATACGTTGTAATTTTTTTCAGTTGAAAACAAATTCTAAATGAAACCAGTTTAGAACTCTGCTTGATCCATGGACCTGGACTCGAAATGACTAAATGATCAGGGAGAGAGTTCACAAAGGTTTCTAAGAAGTGTAACGTAACCCCCCCCCCTCCCTTCCTCAGCAGGTAAATCGAAAGGGTGGGGAGGGGGTGGGTAGAAGGGGAGTGGCTCTAATTGATTTGGTAACCGAGACCATTACAGGGACACTTGCGGGGCCTTTCTTATTTTTCACTTAGATGCTTATATGAATGTTGTTTTTTTTTTTTAATGTATACCTATTTCTTTGCAGGATGTCATGACAAGACTTCCAGACATTGACGTTTTGACCTATTATGCAAGCAAAGAAAATAGAAGGTTAGTGATCTGTTTCGCAGTAAAAATTGTCGAATATTGATTTTCATCTACTGATGAAATTGAATTTGTACTTGACGAAGGGAGAGGATAACAGAGAATGAAATGAGGCGACAAGGTTAATCAATTTTCAGTTAAGTCTTTCTTATGTCTCTTTTTTTTATATAATCATCAGACCGCCAAAAATAATCTGGAAAGCGAGGCACTTGACTGTACACCCTCTCCTTGATCGATACTGTTCTGTATTTTTTTCCTTCAACCACTTCCTTAAACCTGACCTGAGGAGAGCTGAAAAGAAGGTTTCTGATTAATTAGGACCGTTATTTCCCTAGATAATTTGGTTCTTCTATCAAATGAGTTGATAATGTAAATTGGCCGCCGTAAAGAGTTGCAAAGCTGACGTTTCGGGCATTAGCCCTTCGTTAGAACTAATGGAGGAATTGCATGGAGCGAATCGCTCTGACGAAGGACTTACGCTAAAAACGTCAGCTTTGAAACTCTTTACGGTGGCCAATTTGCATCATGAAGTCAAATTATCTGTTATACTCCTCCACCGACGCAGCACTACAGTTTCTTTAGAAAAGTACCCCCTTTATTGACCTAGTTACCGGTAGTCGTCTTATGTCCCCTCTTACCTCTAACAGCAGTTGTGTTCCCATTACCCTCGTTAGCGGCAGAATTATCGGATGACTCATGCTTGTTGTTCGCAACAATGGCCACCTACATGAATACAGGAGCCGGGTTATTATTTTTTTTCCTGAGAAAAATGGATGATATTGTTTTTCAAATTTAATCTGTTTGCTTCTGATGAAATGAAGCTGTTCATTTTCCATGACCTCAATGCTTGTGGCAGCTGTCGCCCAAGCCAGTTACACTTACAGCCGTGCCACAGTTTTTATTTTTTTGCCTTTAAACCATGAGCGAGAGACAGAGATATTATTTTTCAAAGAAAAATGATTGCCAAACTGCCTTATACCATAATTTCAATTACAAACGTGAAGGCAGAATCTTCACAACATACGTTTTTATTATCTAATGCGATTCTACTCAAGTTACAGTATTTTATCTTGATTTTTCTCTATTTCCATATAGATACGTTGTTTTTTTATGTAGAAAATGTATGTAGTGCCTTAAAGCTGTAACTTGTTCCGAAATGGTGGCGATCTGCGATTTCATCTCACTCAGCTGGGTGTAAACGATGTTAGAATTTGCAGGTGATTACACGAAAATAATGCAAACTTTCAGCTCACCTTTTCCAGAAGTATTTTCTCTCTTGGCTCAACGGTGTCCTGACTCTGAAAGTGCTCTTTTGCTCTCAGTAGAGAACACTTCTTTGAAATCCTGTCAAACAGCGCAGAATGACAATGGGTATTAGCATTGCATGTCGAAGCGCAACTTGTCTCATCTTGCACGGTTTTTGTGAAGAAGAAATCTTCTTTTGTTTTCATATCAGACTGTGATGAAATTTTGAAATAAGAAGATCGAAACATGTGCATTTGAACAGAATAAAGGCTCGCCCAAAAAATAAACTGGAATCGGATGGAGATCAACATTTTTGTTACTTTTAAAACTTGAAAAATTTTCTTCGATCCAGCAGGCGAGAAATATCATATGAATGGATTGGATTGCTGCACCTGCGACTTAAAGTATCTTGTGTGTTTCAATGATCTTCCTGAGGGCTGTCGAATTACCTATTTTTCTTAATTGATGATCCCTAAATTTGCTATTTTAATGAATTGAAGCTGACAAATCTGTTCAACAAGATATGAAAAACTGCAATTGCGCTTAAGACCCTCTCAAGCAACACTAAAAGGCATTGTGATGAACCACTTAACAAGAGTTGAAAGGTTTTATTCTTTTTTGAGTGTCAATCTTTACCACGATAGTCAGGAGAATGGACTTACACTAATAAGTATCAATCTCAAACAACACCCGGCGTGAAATATACATTTCACAAGCACATTTGATGTATCATAAGCACATCTCAGATGACCTTGGATTCCATACAAATTATGTATATCTTTTTCTGTGGTTAGGGAAGGGTTACTGGCTTTGATTTCCAACTCTGATTGGCCAAGCATTGCTAAGCTCTTTTTTATCATTGTTTTTGCAATTCCCATCTCATACAACTGCATCTTATAATGGGATGTGATGGGACGTTGCTGCCGATTGCATAACTTCGAAGACAGTTTTGTACTTATTCATTAAAGGGCTACCAGAGCATAAAGGGAACATATTTAAATTTTTTAAATTTATTTACATCAAGGTCGCATTAGGAGATTTCTCACGTTATTTTGCACTTTATTAAATTAAAACGCATGGACGTAAAGCTCTTATTTCACTTTGACTGGGTATAAGTTTTAAAACCCAGTTGTTCGTAGGGCAGATAATGTTATCCAACGGATAAATCGCTATCCAGCGGATAAGTGTCGAAGTGCGAAGCAACCGAAGCGCAAGGCAGAAGAGCAAGACTTCGCTTCCACAAACAACGAAATTAAATACAGCTTTGCTTTTTAAATAACGTTTTTCAACTTCTTGTGTAGAAGCTATTTCGTCAATTTTCCGGTGAATTTCAGTCAATACAGGTAGAGACGTGCAAGGTAAAATTACGGATCAATATCAGTATCTGGGCAACTGCCCACCTACCCCTCCCCTAACCCAACATTAACCCTAACTTGTTAACCCTAACTTGGTAGCCCTAACTTGTTAACCCTAAATTGTTATCAATTGATTGTTGTTGGGTTAGGGGAGGGGTAGATGGGCAGTTGCCCAGATACTGATATTGATCCAAAATTACGACTGCTAACCACAGTGAAATCGAATACAATCCAGACTTAAAACGCGGGAAAAACTGACAAATATGCATGGAGCTTGAAACTGAATATGTCTTTCTTACTACAAACAACAAGCACTACAAACTTTTTCAGCCAATTTTTCCGTTCCTAGGACATCTCACTGAGATGAGATTATAAAACTGCTGAAACTGAGCTGAAAAGTAAGGCACTTGACCATGGTTCCACTTCCTCCATAATCTCAATCGATCTGTATTTCTTCTGCGCGTCCTACCTCAACTTCGTTGGAAAAGGAATGGGTTTGCATAAAAGATCACCAAGACAGGGCCATTGTTGGTTTTTGTTTCTGGTATTCATCACATCTTTTTACTAATTACTTCCAGCAGCATTTTAGAGCACCTTACCTTTGTTAGCTGAAGAATTACTAGATGAATCGTGCTCTTGGATCGTCAAATTGGCCACCTACACGAATGTAGCAATCGGTCGATAATTGTTGTACTGATCCCATGTGAAAAACGAAAGTGTTTTGGTGATTCCCCTCGCTAGTTGGAAGCGGTTACCGCCCGTTCTAATGCAAGTGTACACGTTTTGTCTTTTGGTTTTGTTTTGTTACGACTGCCAAAGGCAGACTTCTTTTCTAGAGTACAGCAATTCTTAAATTTCTGTTCATTTGCCTTTGTAGACCTCACCGTACAAATCTTGACGACTCTTGCCTGTGGAAGCTTTCTTTCAACTTAGTCGGCTCCTATGAAATATCGTATTCTGTACTTACTTGGTATATGACTGAGATACTGTTATTGAAAATATTTTACTTGAACTAAGATTGTACACTCGCTGTTACCATTTTAGGAGATGATCACGGGTCGTCAACGTCACAAACCTGTATACTTTGACCTTACTTTTCCAGAACTATCTTTCTGGTATCACCAGATTCATCTGTACCATGACGTTGCAGGATTCTTTTGGCTTTCAGTAAAGAACACTTCTTTGAATTTTGTCAAACAGCACAGAATGACAGTGGTTATTCGCGTTGCAGGTCGAAGTGCAACTTATGTCATCATGAACAGTTTTTGTGAGGAAGAAATCCTCCTCTGTAAACAGACCAGACTGCAATGTAATTTTGAAATACTAAGGAAAATCGTAACATGTGCATTTGAACAGAGAAAAGGCTTGCCATAAAAATGACAGGGATTCGGATTGATAACGACCGTGCTCTCATCTTTTTAAGCTAGAAAGTGATTTTTTGACCTACAGAACGGGAGACTTCAAATGGATAGATCCTATTTTTGCCCAAAGGTATCATATTCTGAAATGTTGACGTCAGTGATGAATGGAATATCTGTGGAACAGCTACTCTTAAGAGCTTCGACGAAACTTTACTGGTACTTGACATTCCCCAATTTCGCCATTTTAATGACTTGAGGCTTTAAAGGGCTCATATAAAGATTGTGAAAATTAACAAGTGCGATCATGCATTGACACTAAAAGGCTTTGTTACTCCTAATATGGTACAATTACATTAAAACCCATTTCCTAAGTAGTTTTTATTTGCTCTTCTTAAAGAAAATTAGGTGCCACGGAAATTCTGTTTCTCCTTGTTGTGACTTTTCTGTTTTTTTTTCCTTACAATAGTGTAAATGGCTGTCTTTGTTGAAGGTAGCAGGAAAAACGTTCCTCTGTTTGTTGCCATTATTGATGAGCCTAAAATGGCAAGCTTTCATTTGTAATTTTCTTTCAAAAACTCCCATCGCCAAATCAATCTTTATTCGATAGGTTTTTGTTATTGATTGCTTTACTGAAAAATATTCTTGATAAAGCTGTAGTTTTGCTTTCCAATACAGTTTTTTAATTGATTTAGGTTTATCTACAACACTATTCTTTAATTTCAGAAACTTACTTACAGCTCATTACTTGTAATCAAGGAAAGTTGTTAAGTGTCAAAAAGCAATTACTTTTTTTATCGAATGAGCTAGTCAGTATAAGGGTCTTTAGTAACTCACAAGGACATAGCTTCTCAAGCCTAGTTCAAACAAGCGATGCAAATACAAACGCAAACACAACTGCAAATGGAATGGGTTGTGTCAAATTTTGTAAATTAATAATGATTTCACCACAACTAATTTCTGTTGATAGTTTGGGGCAAATACCAACTCCGCACACCATATAGGACAAAGTGGGACACTCGAGAGACGACTGGGACTGTAATGCAATACGTGACCTTATTCCCCACGGGAATGACCCAAGTATATTGAGGCATTTTACCAAACGGTCCTTGTTGAAACTGACAGAGACTTGATTTTGGACAAATCAATTGGCTATGTTTTATTGATTTCTTCAGTCATGACGGAGTAGAGTGACTGGGCAGCGTGGCTCACCATTACAGTTGTGTTGTCAATTGAGCTTTGGTTAAGTTTCTGAGCCAATATCCAGGCAGTTTGAATTCACCTGCTGCCAGTGGTTTTTAAGAAGCATGACTGATCCAGTTGTGTGAATCGTGCGTAAAATTTCTCTAACTTTCTTTTCTTCGTTAAATTCGCCGGAAGCTTGAGATAATGGAGATAATAATTCCCTTGTCGCGAGTGCAGAAAAAGGTTGACGATCAAAAACGAAAAGTACAGCATTTCTATACCCTGTGTAGCATTTTACAGCACCAAGGCTAGAAAAGCTGATCGAATCAGTGATACGAAAAAAGGTTTAATAAAATCAACTGACAGGAGGCAAATCAATTGGCTCTTTACAGGCGTGGCCTAGAATTCGAATTCGGGTCTACCGGGTCGCAAGTGTAGCACTTTAATTGCTCTATCTTTTTGCTTATCCCTATTTCATCAAAATTTTATAAATAGATACCTACAAGCTTTTGATTTTCATCACTAGTTCCCATGCTGCGTCCCCCTTTCATCTTACAGCTCGTATTTCACGTAATTTTACCCGTTTTTACCTCGTATACGCCAACTCGGATTGACCTGTGATAAGAGGACGCGACTCAATTCGATTTCACGTTTTATTATGGACATATACAAATGATTTCTTTTTAATTAAAGCGCCACATGCTCAAAGGATACTAGAACCGGTTAATCTAGTGAAGCTAATTGATCGATCTTTGTATCCAAATAGACCTGTGAAAATGGAATTTTATTGACGGAAGTAGTTCAAACGTTGAAGAGGGAAGCATTTGATTGATTATTTCCTCGTCTTTCAACTGCATAATCATGGCTCTGCAGGATGTCACGACAAGACTTCCCTGTCGTACAGTTTTGAATTTTCATGTTGACTAAGAAAATTACAGGTCGGTGATCCGCCCTGTCGTAGAACTCTTTACAGAGAATTTGGCGATCAATTTAAGGTGGTACAATGATGAATGACAATGAAAGAAACAAAGGAAGAAAGAGCAGCTGAATTTCTCCCACAAATCTCTGTAATTCTCTCAGTCAGACTCCTTATCTACGCAACAGGAGAAAATTCAATTGCTAAGAGCACTAAAGATGCTACTTTGTTTGGCGGAATACTTTTCAAAATTAACTGTCGCTTCTTTACAGGAGGTATATCTGTTTCATCATAAGGCGCAAGCCTGCTCAAAATCATCGTGGAACTCTTCAAGGCCATAAGAGCCTTCTCTCGAATGTTGAAGAAATGAAAATGTAAAATAAGAAGATAAACGCTCTTGAAGATGGAAACAGCAGGCTCAATTGAGTGGAGTGATGGTGACGCTGATTAGCTTTGTCATACTTTAACAGTGCCACAATCCTTTTTTACTGCAGCTCTTGTTTGCGTGGTAATGGTGAACATAAGCGATAGCGACAGGGAATTGAATAGGTAGAGATTCTCTTTTTTGACTCCTCGATTTGATGGCTTAAAGACATAAAGGGTGCCTTTCGCCTTTTTCCTAAATTAGAAGAATTATTGATGACTTGTCCAGTTTTGTTTGATTAGGCAACTGGGGAAACTCGACACGAGGACCTCGGACTAGCCCTATGAGGTTTTAAATGTCAAGAATGATACATATATGTAAACACATCTTGCGCATCATGAAATTTGCATGTGCCCCGTATATTTAACATATAGTTTTATTACAATTAACTAACAAAAAGTGACCTTTTGATCAGCTGTTTTCACCGTGTTACATTCGTTTTGACATCAAAAAATTTTTCCACAAACTTTATGTACCTGAAACACCCTAGATAATTCTCAATTGTTACAGCTACCTAGTATGAGAAAACCATCAATACTTTCTAACGTTGCAGCAATACATACTAAACTTCACCGCTCATCTTTTGCTCTACCTTTAGCTGTTACAGTTACTGAATGTAGATTTTGCAAATAGCTGGAAAAATTTGTGTAGAATATCGTGGTGGTGAATTATTGTTACTACTAATGATGATATCACCACAACTCGTTTTAGGTCGTTTACTCAAGCCGATACCAACACCACGCACCAAATATGGCAATTCTGGGCACGTAGAAGGTCGCTTAGTGGACTGAATTCCAATACGTGTCTCGATCACCCATGGGGAGGACCTTTGCATGTTGAGGCCTCTTACCAAACAATTTTTGTTGATACCTGGTGGAGTCGTGATGGTGGACGCACTCACTGGCCATGTCTTCGTAAAACTCTCATTCATTACAGAGTAAAGAGACTGCGCAGTGTAGTTTACCACCATAGTTGAATATTTGGTTGAGGCGTTTGCCCCAAAGGTCATGGCGACACATATTCTGGTGAAATTTCTGAGCCAATATCCAGGAAGTTTTAGGTCACCTTCCTCCTCTACTGATCCATATCGAGCTTGAGTGGTCCAGACAGGTGAGTCATAGTAGGAAAGATTCTAAGAGGTGAGAAAATTTTTTTGTTAATCACCATTTTAGCACAACAACTCAAAACTACTTGTCAAATGATAGTGTGTTACATTTTATAAGTTCACTACCACTAGTGTCACTAGTGACACGTTTTTGTTGGTGTTTTCGTTTTCTTGTTGTTGCTGTTGTTGTTTTATTTCGTAGGGCTGTAAGGGAGATTGCAATCACTGAGAGAATTTATAATAAAGTTCGGAAAAAACGAACATAGAGCAAGAGAGCTAAAGCTGTCACGCCAACTGCCAAATTGTACCTTGTCCGACCGGACTTCTCTCTGGCTTTTTTTCGTATATTGAGAGGGAAATTTCGGAATAAGCGGGTCGGCCAAGAGCAACAGAAAAACCAAACAAAGTTTTTTAAACATTTCAAGCGCCGTAATTGACGTTAGCAACGTAAGCAGAGACGAAAATCCTCAAACAGAAAACGAAATGGACAGTCCGAGTTTTGAAGTTTTTTACAATTAGCTGGATTGCAAGCTTACCTGCAGTAATAAAAATCAAACATAGCTAACACTCGTGTGATATATATAGTTTGTGTTCAAGAACAAAACAGAAAAAAACAAGAATGATGAAAAGTATAGCCAAACTGGCATAACTGTTAAAAATTCATACTAATCATAGCGGTGTCAGAGTGAATGCGATCATGCTGAAGTCCATCGCGGCCAGCCCATCATGACATATCCGGTCATCACAATGAAGCAAGCATCAGAATTTTTAATCGGCCGCCCTTCGAGTGAACTACTACGACAACTAAGAGCTCTGATATCCTTTCCGATGCTTTGAGTGGAAGACCACATCAGGCACAGCAGCCGAGTGAATTGAGTTGTCGTTCATTCATGAAACATACGCCTCGAGCAGTTTGTTTTCTAATTATCATATGATAAAACTCGCGTTTTTTCATGAGCTTCAATGCGGTCGGATTATTCTGAACATTTCAATTTTAGATTCTGTATAAGAGACTAAACAACTTCAAGCAAGTGTTTAATTCGACCTGTCGAACTATTTCAGTTTGTTAACTACTGCAGAATGTGAATTCTGATTTTACAAGGATTGTGACTGGCTTATTGTAACGTGCCCTATGAAAGTGTAGAACACGCTGACGACACTGCTGTTCGCTTTAAAAATAAAGTTTGTTTTGAAAATTGAAAGTAACGCGTAGGGAATTTAACGGATTCTTTGATATGAAACAAATAGAGAAGCCACTCAAGAAGTGGGGAAAAACACTCGACTACGTCTCGTGTCTCTTCCTACACTTCTTTCTTTCGTGCTCTAGTCGCCTCCTGCGTGTTTTACAACAGAACAGAGCACATTAAAGGCTTCTCTATTTTTGAATTATTAATTCTTGTAAAAAAACTTCTTTTCTTTTATTGTTTGGCGCTCTATCAAAACTAAGTTAGAGGTGAGAAAAATTTTACAACTTCTCTGGAATCTAATCGTCAGAGGTTACGTAATTTTCAAACTTCTTCGCGATATTAGGAACACTTTCTCAAGGAAAGCTCACTGTACATGAAACTTTGCAGGCGTAAAGAAAATGCGACTAGCAGGTGGCATTTAAGTCATATTTTAAAGCGTGGACTAGAACTAAAATTCGGAACTTCTGTTTCGTAAGTCGAGTTTCTAACCTCCTGGCCTCATTGTTTATTGCTATTTCTTCAAAACAAATGCAAGCAAATACCTTCCCATTGCTAACTTTCATTACCAGTTCCCATACTCCATCCCCACATTTAGAAAAGCCTCTACATCTTGTTTTCCACGTGTTGTTACCGATATTGATCTTGTAGATGCCATTCCGGCTTGAGCTGTGATTACAGAAAATGACTTTAAGATGTGACCCGTTTTTCCAATGTAAATTTTAGTGAGTTAAGTGGAAAGTTGAGCAGTAGTAGTATTAGTAATTATTTACCCAGTGAGTATGTTCGATGATCCTTGTATTAAAAAAAACTCGATGAAGTGGATTTGATGTGCCGAGGGTCGGTTATCGCGGGAAACCGAAGCGATAAAATAGGGCCTAACTTTGTGTTTGTTCACTTTAATACCTCTACTCTGTACTTTCAGTGGAAACTTCATATCCTTGAACTGCGTACCTATGTCTCTTAAATATGTCGCGACAAGACTTCCCTGCGGTGTAGTTTCGACCTTTCAAGAAAACAGAGAAAATGACAGGTTAGTGATTATTTTTTTTCCTTAGTATAACTCATCTACATATTACGTTGTATTACACAATAGATTTT